TGATAGCCTCGACAGAACTGAGACTATCCGAAAAAATAAAGTAGTGGTCTGGAAGAAGTGAAGCACTAGTTTCCAAAGTGTAGTGAATTGCTGCCAGTTCAGCCACATACACAGAGCTTCAAGTTTTCGAGAGGCGCTATGAAACTCATTAAATACACCAAACCCAGCGGACTCCTCTATTAGAGATCCATCTGTGAAAAACGTTCTTGCAGAATCAACATGGCCAAACTTTGCAGAGTATAATCAACAATCAATACGAAACTAACAATTTTAAATTGGCTCACTACTTGACTAGCCTATTGGTCCCAAGCAAACGATTAACGTACCCCATTCTAGTCGAAATTCTAGTACTACACAATGTTTGTTTTGATTCGCTATGAAAGCTTGGCAGATAAAATGAGGGGTTATTGGTTTTTCCTATGTTTCGAGGGGTGAATCGATTAGCTTGGGACCGAAGAGAGTACCAGAGCTGAGCCAAAAAGTTGAGCTCGTTACTTCGGGACCTTCTGGTCTTAGAGTTACCTCTATGGTATAATGCCGGAGCAATCATAGGACGATGATGCTCTGGAATTCCGCGGACTTCCTGCGTCATAGATAAATCAAAATTCACTGAATTGCCGAAATCGGAGAAGACTACACGATTGGGAATATTTCTTGAAGCGCTGACATCCTGTGTTAAACATAGGTAGTACAAAGTCATAAAACATGTTTGAGGATTTAGCTCCAGAAGCTTCTCAAAGTTTTCGATCACCAGTGGGTTCATTACTTTGCAACAGGTGATGAGCCTCAGAGATAACACTGAAAAACGGACGGATAGTGGCAACATGCCCGCCAGCACTTCGAGACTCATAGTATGAGTCGAGTACATGCATCTTAACGCGATACGAAGACAACGATACTGGATCCGTTCCAGCTTGATGATGTGTGTTTTAGCTACCGACTCGAAACAAAAACTACCATATTCTAGAACCGATAAAATCGTTGTCCGGTACAAACGTCAGAAGATCTTGTGGATGGGCTCCCCACCATGTTCCGGTAATTGATCGAAGGAAATTGATCCTTAGTTGGCATTTTCGTCTCAGATACTCAATGTGGGATCTCCATGTGCATTTGGAATCGAACCAGACCCCGAGATATTTGAAAGACATGGAATGAGTGATCGGCTTACCCAAAAGTTGAAGCTTAGGTTGTGCTGGGCTATGCTTCCTAGAAAAAGCGACCAACTGAATAGCCCAAGTAGACAAATTGTCCAAGGTATCCTGTAAGGGTCCTTGCAGGTCAACCTCTTTTGGCCCTGTGATAGACACTATGCCATCATCTGCAAGTTGTCTCAACGTGCAATTGTCACTAAGACAGTCATCAATTTCTCTAACGTAGAAATTGTACAAAAGGGGGCTTAAACATGAGCCTTGGGGGAGACCCATGTAGCTAAATCGAAAAGCTGTAGAATTTCCATGAGAAAAGCTCATATGTTTTTCTGACAGCAAATTGTACAACAAATTATTCATTAATGGAGACAATCCACAAGCGTGGAGTTTCTCTGAAAGAACTTCAACGGATACTGAATCAAAAGCCCTCTTGATATCCAAGAATACAAAAGCCATTTGTTCTTTCTTAGCAAAAGCTAACTGAATTTTCGAGGAAAGTAACGCGAGACAGTCGTTCGTTCCCTTACCCCTACGGAAACCAAATTGAGTATCTGATAGAAGGTGGTTCGTCTCAACCCATTTGTGAGGAGAAAAAGGACCATTTTCTCCATCAATTTCCGAATGCACGACAACATCGCGATGGGCCGATACGAATTGTGATCCAACGCGGGTTTATCAGGCTTTTTAATGGCTATCAACCTCACTCGTCTCCAATCGTCGGGAACAATATTGAGCTCCAAGAACTGATTGTACAAGTTCAACATGCGCCTCTTAGCGACGTCTGGGAGGTTTTTCAGCAAGTTGAACTTGATTCTATCGGATCCCGGGGTAGAATTGCCACACGAATTCGCGGTTTCGCGAGGAATCAACTGCGACGGCACGGAATCCGGACACACTTTTCGCGCGAATTTAAGAATCCATCGATACGAGTATTCCTCGCTTTCGTTGTTAGTAGACCGGTTACGCATTCTTCGCACCGTACTCCAAAGCGTATTCATAGACGTTTCGCGAGACAATCCGTCCACAAACCGCCGCCAGTAGCCCCGTTTTTTGGCCTTGATGGCTCTTGAGTTCGCGTTCAAGAGATGTGTATGCGTCGAAATGCTCGCGTGTTCCGCGTTTCCGAAAAAGTTTAAACGCGTCGGACTTTTTACGGTAAACCTCCGTGCATTATTGAACCCACCAGAGCGATGGTGTTTTCTTACGAATTGACGATCGCGGCACCGGTCGTGTTTGAGCTTGAAGTGCGCTGTCGACGATGAGATTAGAGAGGAAGTAATATTCCTCCAACGGCGGAAGCTCTTCCACTGACGATACTGTCTCGCCTATCGCGATTGGAACTTAGTCCAATCGATGTTACGGGTTAGACCATACGCGACGTTAACGGATTCTGACGAGTTGAACCCACTGGTAATCGAAATTTTGATCGGCAGATGATAACTACCGTGCGGATCCTGGATTACATGCCAAGTGCAATCCAACGATAGTGAATTGGAGCAAAAGGTGAGGTCTAATCTGCTACCATTCGAGGATGGACCAGCCAAACGTGTTACTTCTCCATTGTTAAGTATTGTCATGTTGAAGTTGTCGCAGAGATCATAAATCAAAGTAGAACGGTTATCATCGTACAGCTCCCCCCAGCCTGTACCGTGGGAGTTAAAATCTCCCATGATCAACCATGGAGCGGGAAGTACCGCACAAATGTCGAAAAGTTGTTTGCGATTAACAGAGACTCTAGGAGCAATATATACAGAAGCAATACAAAGGCTCTTACCTTTAACGGTAGCCTGACATGCGACAACTTCAATACCGGCGAATTCGGGAAGATTCACTCTATAGAAGGAATGGCACTTTTTGAACCCCAAAAGTACCCCTCCTCCACGTGAATCCTCACAGTCCAATCGAATGATGTTAAAATCATAAAAAGGGAGATCAATTTCTGAAGAGAACCATGTTTCACAGAGGGCAAATGCATCGCAATTATTGTTATGGACTAAATACTTGAACGAATCTAATTTCGAAATAAGGCTTCGATAATTCCACTGTAGAACAGTGATCAAATCCCCGACCTCGTTTGGAAAATTATCCATCGAAGGAGATGATAACTGCAAAAAATACATGAAGTTGGCAACAAGATAAACATCAAAGCAATCCTGGCATCACTTGCATTTGTAACTGCTTGAGTGTGACTTCGCCAATGAACCGACGAGCGAGTTCATGAGTGATTGTTAAACGATTTTAATACTCCTCCCTAGTTGAAGCAAACCATTTGTAAACATTGCAGATTGGAACCGCTTTTGACACTTCGATTGGAATCATAACAGTGTCTCCGCTGGTCGCCCTATACTGCGTCCTATCAAAAGATAGTGGGCAATAATTAAACGGCACCTTAAGAAAGATGGAAAAGAACCAAGCTCTGTTAACTGCTTCAAGAAAGTTTGGTCTGCAGTACAACGAAAAGTTAGGAAGAAAGTTGTGCAGAATCTAATGGGCGGTATCAAGAGAAAAGTCCGAGCGTTCTTGAGAAATGAGAACTTAACTCACGTGAAATCGGTCATATGTATGTTGATTTTCATTTATATAAAGTAAACTTATGAATTTGTTCGAAAATAATTATTTTTCTTTGAGAAACAGGTGTCTACTTTCATTAATGAACAGTCCGAAGTGACGAAACAACAATTTCAAAATGGCCGAATTCCAGCACAAGCTTGGTTCATTGCCCCTAGCGAACAATTATGCGAAGTTTTATGAAATGCTGAGGGTAAAATTTGAAATTCGTTTATTTTCGTCGCTCAATATATTATTACTGAATATTTACTGAGAGTCTATAGAAATTTAGTATTAGAACAAGTACAACTTAACTATTGAAACGGTTCTCGAATTTCGGTTGATATCAACTGCTAAAAGCCTAACGATAGAGCTTGCTTATTAAGCCACAGTTATTCAGTTACTTGGCAACCAAGCAAGACTTATGTACCATAGGACCATTTGCAAAAAAAATTCTACGTTGGATCATTACGATGCGAATTGAAAATTCGTATTTTGATGTCATGATTTCGAGGGTCGAGTGTCACCCCTAAAATCTTCGTAACCCCGCACCCACACTCTACGCTACTAACCAAACTGCTCGATAGGCCAGAAATGGGCGAATAGGCTGAAATAAATTGTTACCCGTGTGCGAGTGATGCGAAACTGTTCAAATAAAAGAGGGAATAATAAATCACACACAAAAGTGAAAAAAAAAAATAGATTCAAACTAAAGAGGGTCCAGTATAAGAGAGGAGCGGATTCAAAACAAACTGCCTGGGCAACCTATGCCTAGGTGGTTTCTAGCAACACTGCCAATGCAATCAAGATAGGCGCTGCTCAATTGACTCTGGCTTTGACAGTTCGTTTTGGCTCAAAACCAGCCAGTGCGCACCTCTCTTATACTAGACCCTCTTTAATTCAAACTAAGTAAACGACTTCTATTTCGCAGGTGTTTACCTTGCATAGAAAGCATGGAAACTACCGAATGATTTTTCTACAAAAAAATAACGTAGGGTTTAGGTAGTATGTTTGTCCTACTATAAGCACAAGCCGCGATTTACCGCTCTTTATTGAACGGATCTGCACAAGAACAATTGACTGTTTGATTTGAAAAATAGTCTTCATTTTCTTCCAATCGAATGATTGACTTGCTTAGGTCGAATGCATAAATATTTTTTAATATAAGATGAAAATAAGTGCTTAGGCTGAAGTAGCTCTCTACCCTATTGGTGACCAAATTCAGGTTTGGTTAAAATTTCCGTTCATCTTTTTCTCCCGCTCTCTTCGTCATTTTGGGAAGCTGCGTTGGTATAATCGAACATCTCGGGATCATTCGTAGTCAGTCGGCAGCAAGACTCGAACCAGTTAGTAAGTGTGAGGTGTATAGAAAGGAAGGAAGCCAATCTGTGATAAGTGTAGAAATTCAGAATCCACCGGGATGCTGCGCCTTGCGTTACTGTGCGTGGTAGCATTGGCTGTCCTGACGGCTGGTCAGAGGCAAGTCGAGGAAGTGCTAAAATGGCAACAGGTCCAGTTCGACCTACCGGAAAGTGGTTAGTGTCTAATCGATAAATCTATGAAGAACAATGGTAACTGAAAAGTAACTGCATGTAATTGTGTCCACAGTTCTTTCCGCCCCAGATGGCTACATCCCAATCAACAATATTCCGATGAGTGGCGTTCACTACAAGAATCGTGTCTTCGTAACGGTTCCACGGCGACGATGGGGTATTCCATCTACCTTGAACGTCATTGACCTAACACCGCCATTCCCCAACGTGAACGCCGTTCTGAAGCCATACCCATCTTTTGAACTCAACGAACTTCGGGTATGTATTTGAAACTATATTCATGCAAACTAGTATCAGCTTATCGTCAATATGCTCTTTTTATCCTAGGCCGATCTGCAACCCGATGCGAACCGCCTGGTAACCGTCTACCGTCCACGAGTTGATCGTTGCGATCGTCTGTGGTTTGTCGACACCGGCATGATGGAAATCCCCGGTAAGTAATACTAGTTGACTTATTTCGAATTGAGTAATGGTGATAATTTCAACAAGCAGTGAACAACCTTCACTCTGATCATCTTTCCATTTCGGATTTAGTGACGGAAAAACCAAAACTTGCACGGAAAGGAAGGTGCTGGAGGTTATCAACTGATTGTTTTTATTTATTTATTACTCTTCGTTTCCATCACGCTTCCTTGCTGCTTGTTTTTATGCATATATGATAGAGAGTAAACAACCGTTCACAGACAAACAGACATAGTAAATAAAAAAAAAATCACTGTAAAGAGCGTCGTTAAAACACCATCGTCAATTGTTGAGTACGCTACTAAGGATAACTCGGTATGGCGGTAGTGTTGAAACGTCAAACGCTAAGGCAGTTGTTGCCTATGCGCGCCACATCATGCTTGATCGGTGAAAAAACATGCGAGTGTTATGTATGTTTGTCTGTGGTTCAAGCAACCTTGTTACCTTCGGATTGGAGTTTTGAAAAATTTCCTTTATAACTGACAAACCGGTTAAATGATTTTAGCGACATTCGGCTGTTTTGCATATTCCCACTGGACGCAGACGATTCAAGGGAATGATGTCGGCCTCGAAGATAAGCCAAGCCTGTATGTTAATTGGTGGTTATTTTACATGTCGTTTGTATTGATATGTTGTAGCTTATTAAAAAAAACTAGTTTGGAAAAAAAACCGGCTTGTTTCGTTAATTAATTAACACATCCGCTTTGTTGTTTTGGCACAGATGAGTCATACTTTTATTGACCTTAAGCGGGTTGAAACTTTGCAATTCAATAAACTTATTAGAAAATATTTATTACTTGTTACAGCTGATATTCACAGTGTTGCGACTCATAAAAAAACCTGGTTGAAATTCAGAAAGGTTTTGTAAATAGCCACCACAGGTCACATCTTTGCTTGATTTCCTATTCATATGGGACATTTATGCTTTTATGACCATTACAGGAAGTGACCAAAATGTGTTTTGAACTAGCATTCTGCATGCGACATTCTTATTCTTATAATCCTTAAACTTACTTTAACGATGGTCATAATCATAATGTTTGTTAACTCCTTTCGGTCATACCCTACTTTAATACCGTCACGATTGTCTTTGCGTTAAACCGGTTTGTGCAGTTTAACATACTCGATATAAAAACAGTTTTTTTTATTTGCGCCATATTGTTAAGGTGATACTCTAAGGAAGCCTTAGCGTGAAACTTAAAAGGCACAAATGTCAGCTTCCACAAAACATACATATTTGAAATTGTTACTCCTTGTTTACTGTGCTACTACGAACAGAGAGTAGCAATTTCAAATTTGTATGTTTTGTGGAAGCTGACATTTGTGCCTTTGAAGTTTCACGCTAAGGCTTCCTTAGACTATCACCTTAAGTGTTCCATATATTGAACGATTTTATATACGTTTTCGGATTTAGTGACGGAAAACCAAGACTTGAACGAAAAGGAAGGTGCTCGAGGTTATCAATCGAGTTCATCAACTGAACTTCTCCGATATGCATGAAACTTTGCATAAATAAAGGCTTGTTAGTCACTTATTCCAGTTTGAGCTAAAATTCAGCCATTTTGAATCTCGCGAAAAAAAAAACTTCAAAAAGGCGTAGGTGTTTAATCTTTTTCAAAAACCATAAATCGAAAACATTACTAACAAAGGCGATGCGTAATTCACCTCTTTTTGTCACATCTGTACCAACATTACTCTAAATCTCAGTTTTCCAACAGTAAAGGTCAATTATTTTGACTATAGTGCACATCAGCCATTTAAGCCACTCTTCGCTCATCGTGCTTCTCAAATACGATTTTACCCTCCTCATTACCCAGAAACTTTTTTCTGCAGAAGCAATGGTGCTTGGAAGACACACAAAATTTGTTTTCCAAGTTTGAACACTTCTGAAAATACATCTTCCAAATTGGTGTCATAGCTGGATGATACGATTTCCGAAACACCCTTTCCTTTAAAATCGTCTACATTGGTGTACAAAATTTTCAGTTCATTAATGAGCCTCACTTTATCGTTTGACTTGAATCGATCACAAAAACTGTTAACTACATCTTTGGGAATTGTTTTATCATAAGATTCAAATTTGGAACCATCTAGTAACGCCGAATAACTGAAATGATGAATGTTTGTAGCGAATATCTAATTCCTTCAATATACGATGCAGCAAAGAACAATATACTTTATAATATTTAGTGTGTTCATGCCGAAGGTCATTTGGTATGCCTGTTGTTTCGAAGCAAGATGTTAGTATTTTGTCGAATCTTTCCTCTCCTTGTAATTTCGTAATGTTGCTTTTTGTTTCATTGACACTTTTGGAGCAAGTAACAAAATCTAGTTCCTTTGACTGCAGTGTCAGATACAAGATATCAGTAAAGCAAAATCGTATCGAAATCTAGTAGAAACCCGTGGATACCTCTGGCCATAGAGCAAGCTTCACTAGGTACATTTCCCCTGAACATGAAAGAATTTCCAAATAATTGCGTTCAACGACGTTGACCATGTGCGCGAGTTGTAAGCCCATTTCACTTTGCAAAGTTGTTCGGCGTCTTCATTACATGTCCGGCTATCGCATCTGCAGACTTATCCCCACTGACATCTTCAATTTGGACTAATCGTTCGACGACTCTTCCTGTATTGAAATAAGACACCATGGTAACTTAACAATAGTTAACGCACAATCCTAAAAAAGTAGAAGGGTCTGTGCCTAGGGGCACGAACGGAAGCTTGACGAAGGACCGCTAATGGACGGAATAAATATGAAGAGCATTAAGTTCTTTTAATTGATCAAATCAGGCATAACATTTGATAACGGCACAAAAGCATTTGTAAACAAACATTCTAAGGCCCTTTACACGCGAACTAAAGTACGCCCACGCAAACCAATACCACTTACGGAAAGGTGATAGTTGCCCCTAAGCGATGATGTTGTTGGTTTGCGTGGGCGCACTTTGGTTCGCGTGTAAAGGGCCTTAGAAGGTTTGTTTACAAATGCTTTTGTGCCGTTATCAAATGTTATGCCTGAAATATCTATTATCTCAACTCTTTCCGTTTTTGAATTGTAGGCGATCCAAATTTGTAGTAATCTTTTTCAAAAAGAAAGTTGATTACGAGAATCAATCAATATCACTTGCACCCCTGCTTCCAAGTTTGTGTGGTCGTTCCCAACAAACAATTTGAGCTGAATAAGCTATTTTTTAGCTTAAGAAGCATATTTGTGCCTGAATAAACAGTTACTCAGCTTGCAATGTTTGTTGGGTTGGGGGCTTGTGGTTCTGAATATGCACAAACAAGCATAGATAAATTCTATTCCTACTCTTTACTGATGTAAGCTTGATGGCCCTGAAAAGGGCCGTTTTATTGAAGAGGACATCCATGGCCACTTACGCTTGGCGTGTTTAGTGTAGGTGACGGACCTCATTTTCCACGAACACCTTCAGCACACCTCGTAGATCAGACCGGAGATACGTCAGACACTGCCACGGCGAGCCAGACGACGGATGGTGGTTATCTCGAAGAATTTGCGATGACGATTGGCACCTCCTTTGCCACGACCAGCCACGACCTACTGCTGCTATTGCTGACCACGCCGTTCGAAGCGAAAATGAGTTGATACCAGACAGCAGCGCTGCTTTATATCTTTTTAGGTTAAAGCAGAATGATGTGCAACCAAGTGGTATAAAAGCTACAAAGACTCCTCCCATTATGAGTAGTTTGCTATCAAGTAGCGACACTGGCTATTTTCTTTTTGCGTACACGGCGAATGAGAACACCCCAAATTTGAGTTTAGTTCACTCATAATCGCCAAAAGTGTAGGAACTCAGCGATGAGTAAATTTGTCTCATGATTTCCTGTGGAAAACCTAAAAAATCTGCCAGAAAATGAGGAAATTGACGAAAATTTTATTCAGTCTCGAAGTAGTACCAATAGACTGAGTGAATCCAATCTTTACTTTTCTCAAATTCGGGAATTTTTCCCTGGAAAATCCTGGGAAAACATGAAGAATATTTACTCATCGCTGAGTTCCTGCACTTTATTTCTAATTTCTGAGATAACTAAACTCAAATTTGGGTCGTTCTCATTCGCCGTGATAGATATCGGCGCCGGTGGTTAGCGTGATTACCTCTCACCCCAGCAGGCCTGGTTACAATCTCAGTCGGCGCCATCGGCATGTTCTAAGGCATAACATCTCTGGGACTGGGAGCTGCCTCCCTGGCGTCGGTAGCATTGGAGCTCAGTACGGAAAACAAATCTCGCGTCACTTTTCAATAGGTCCTATCTACATTGATCGATTCTCTTCATCGACACTCTCTTTCGTAAATAACTCGGCTTCATAAATGGTTCCTGCCATCTTCGTCGAATTAGATGCTAGATTGTTGCTTCTTCCATCGAAAATATCCGGCCGTGGCGATTCAAAGTTGATCAAGGTTGATCAAAACAATTTCTATCCCTGCTTCCAGTTTGATTACATGAGCATTTTGTGTGGTCGGTGGTTCTGAATATGGACAAACAAGCAGATGAATTCTATTCCTACTCTTTACTGTAATAAGCTTGGTGGCCCTGAAAAGAGCCGTTTTGTTTCCAATGTTGGTGATGATTTAACCTCTGAAACCAAACAGAGTGCGTCTCTGTCACTTCAAAAACGTAGATAACATCCATGGCCGCTTACGCTTGGCGTGTTTAGTGTAGGTGACAGCATCACAGATCTCATTTTTCAGGAACACCTTCAGCACACCTCGTAAATCAAACCGGAGATACGTCAGACACCGCCACGGTGAGCCAGACGACGGATGGTGGTTATCTCGAAGAATTTGCGTTTGGTTCTGAACATGGCGATGAGTGTGTAAAATATTACGCAATTCCATCCTTCCTATTCGCACGCGCCCGAGGATCGGAGGCGAATGCCACTTCGACTTGTTTCGTCTACTTACTATTCTCTGACGACTGTGCTGGGGAAGCAGAATATGCATGTAGGTT